TATGTGCCCATACATGACCTACCTACCCACATTATAAACAAACTCCGCTGTGCAACTGCATGCTCAGAACATGGCCTCGTGCACAAGTTCGCTTTTTCGTCCATTTCAATCCATGCAGATGGTCGGTGCCGAATTCCGCCATGGCATAAATATAGTGAGCTGTATGCAAAGTAGATACCTTCGCTCAGGTATGGGTGACTTCGCTGTAATCATTTAGATCACACATAGCTAACCGGTGTTGCAAAGGTATATGGTAGTAAGGCTTTAAACCTTTCTACCCAACATCAATATTCATATTCTCTATACTCTCCTATACACATTTTCTTTGTTACTGACAAGGAGAATTCATTTAACAATCATATCTACCTCATTCCCTTTATTCTCAAGATCTTAATGAATTGTAAGTGGATGGGAGAGGAGATATGATTTACTTTTTGGAGGTTGAGACCATGTTGAAGGAGTCATTCAAGTTTTTCAAGTTCTTGAAAAAGACCTGTGAACTCTCAAGACCTAGTGCACTGTCTTGGAAACATTTTTATTAATTTTATGACTCTATAAGTAGCATGTATTTCACCTGGATCTGCTGAAGCTACCTATTAAAAGCCCCCACATGGGCATTGCCAGAGGGTTAGGGATTGGGGTTAACAAATCTTCTGTTACACTACCTTCTGGCATAATTATACAACTTGTAGTTCTTTTCAATGCTATAAAAATTGTGCCATGTCAGTAACCACATGCAGTCTTAAAATTGCCTATTTTTAAGGTAGCTGTCACCTTGCTGCCAAGTTACCGGTTGTACATGACAATGGCTTTAGCTGTGAGTGGCCTGAAAAGCACAGATTTAAAATGGCAAAGTTTCTTAAAGTAATGGAATGGATCATCAAAGACAATCTATCAGGGTCTGTCAAAATCTTTCAACCAGTGGAACCACCTAATGAAGTTGTTACACGTGTTCACAACTGCGACTATGTAGATGGTTTTATCTCAGGAAGCATTCCTCCAAAAGAAATGAGGAAAACTGGCTTTCACTGGTCAGAGGGCCTTGTGAGAAGATGTTTACTTGAAGTAGGTAGGAATTTGTGTTAAAATTAAGTATGTGCATGGATTAGGTTGCTGAAGTAACAAACAGAGTTTTGCAGGGGGGAGACTTGCCCCTGATCCAGAGACCCTCACCAATATGATAGTGAATACTATGTTTGACCAAAATGAAACTCGTTATATCCTCAGCACAGTTAGTATTACTCTTCTCCCCTTCCCACATTCCAGTAACAGATCTAGGGGGAGGGTCGAGGGATTTTTGACTTCTTGTCTGAAACCAACAGTCTTGCAACAAAAGAATCACATGATAGAAGTGTTTGAAATTAACTTCTCTTGTGAGGAGAGACAGCCCGCAGAATAGTTCAGTATTCTAATTTGAATTAATTTTGAATTTGCTATTGCCTTATATGTGTTTGGATAAGTTTGTCAAATACATATTAATATTAGTAAAAAAAAAAATTGACCTTTTTACTAAAAAAAAAATAGGTGGCACCATGCTTGCTGCCAGGCTAGCAATGGAGTATGGACTAGCATGCAGTACTGCAGGTGGAACACACCATGCTTTTCCCAGCCATGGTTCAGGTTTCTGCATGTTGAATGATCAGGCGAGCTACATGACGTCGTTTCGATTGGGGCTCACGTATCGATCTGTTATTCATAACAATACCTGTAAAACTTGACCTTAGGCGATCGAATATCACAACGGATGATTATTTTGACAAAACAACTCGTTGACGCGAAATCCATGTTTCTGTGTTGAATTATTCAAGAATCACTGGAAACGGTGGGTATCATTCATAATTGGTTGTATCTGTTTTAAGTTTAATTTATAGTATGCTTCAGCCGAACCTTGATCCCGAAAACTCAAATGTGTCATTTAAGACCAAAGTCCTGTTTACGTAATCAATGTACCTTATAAGCTACTGACTTCGAGGAGACTTCATTGTTATTCCAAAAGGTCACAGTGGAATTCTATTCCTCGTGGTTTGACAACCATAATTTGATCACTAGAAAGTCTTTGGCGCCGAAAAGAACAAACCAGATGAGAAGAAACTGTATATACTGTATATGTTGAGGTCCAGGTGTAGACAACATTTATTCTTGTTAAAAAAAACATTTGATCGCGATAAACTATCAACAGAGCCAAAACCTCGAACCAAGTTGACCTTTGTTGACTAGCTACACTCCAAATACGATTTCTGAGGATGCGTGTATAACTGAAATTGTGATACAGAAATAACTGAAACCTATTAATTTCTGGAGATTCTAGATAACACGAGTATTTGAAAACGGTAAAAAGTATTAGAAGAAAGGTGCTGGGAAGTGCCTACTTTAAGCTTTCAAATACTACAATAAGGGATCGAAGGTTTCACACAATGGACCCACTGAACAAGAAACAGCAATAACGCAAATACGCAGCACACTTCAGAATTTGAGATAAGCTCGTTACACCGCAACTTTCGATTCTATTCAAGGAAATACGGCATAAAAAACTTATACTGCAACTCTGCAATTACCAATTAATTGTTAAAATACCAAAATTTGAAACTCAGGAGTGAAAAATTTGTTGTAAGAGCGCATAACTTTTTTATTGTTACTGATAATAGTCATTGGACCAGTTAATTTCGTCCATGTTTGTTTTCAACCTGGCCACTCAAGAAGTTTATTTTTCATTTTGATTGGCTGGCATTGACTGACTGACATTAATAGTTGATTTTTATTGGCTGATGGCGTAAAGTGCCTAATTTCTATTGGCTGCTTAACTGTCCGACTTGGCCTTTGCAGTTACAAAAACTTGAAATCGGACAGGTGAAAATGGACAGTGGACTTGAAACAGTCAATTAAGCCACAAATGAGGACTGATAAGAACCACTCATATTCAAACATCTCTAAAAACTGAGAAAACATATAGTCTGAACTCGCTAATATAAATCAATTTGTCTCTACTAAGGCCCTTTCAAACGTGAATATCGTCATGGCGATGGAATACAGCAAAGAGCAGCTCAACTACTACAGGATTTGTTACGTTGTCGCTGATGTATTAACTGATGGTCTGCGAATAATTTTCAAACAAGAATGGGACAATCGCTACGGTGCAACAACGTCAGGGGAATGGAAGGATGAACCAAGAAATGGAGTGGACTTTAAAAACAAGGAATCTGCTCAGAACCAAAAAAAAATGCGCTTCTCCATACAACCATGATTGGTGGAAACAGAGCAGAATGGGATTGTACGATGCTTTTCTACGCTATTCTTTTCTCAGATTGTATTGACAACCTCAGCCCAGTTGTCAGATCAAATGTCGATGCCCTCAGAAAGTTTCGAAATGAAGATTTTGCGCACATGTCGGAAGGAAACCTTTCAGACCTGCAGTTTCAAAACATCATTGGCAAAGTTGACACTGCATTTCAAGCGCTCGGTCTTTCCACAATGAAAATTCAAGAGATTAAGAATCAAACGAGCTTTCCCACGGAGGAACTGAAAGATGTCTTGAAAATGGTTGACAATCTTAAGCAGGAGCTTCAGGTCCTTGAAGATCAGTTAAACAATGATATCTCCCCCTTCTGTGTCCTCCCTCCTAAACCCTCACATGACGTAACAAGCCGCGACCGAGAGGTGGCCGAAATAATGCAACAGCTTAGAGAACTTAAAACAGCAAATAAAGACAGGCTAAGTTACCTTTACATCTCCGGAAATCCTGGAAGTGGAAAGTCTCAACTAGCGGGTCTTGTGACTGAACGATTCTACAGAGAAATTAAAGATCTTCCGGATGGTACCTCATTTGTGATGACGATAAATGGTGAAAGTCCAGATACTGTGCTACAATCGTATGTGGCTTTTTCACGGCGTCTTAAGTGTCCCGAGTACGCGGTGACAACCACCCTCCATTCAGAGGACTTGACAACAAATGAGAAAATCACCAATCTTAGGGCATTGATCGGAACGAAAATTGGGCTTTATACATCGTGGCTGCTCGTAGTTGATAATGTCGCGAGTCTATCACATGTGCATGTCCATCTACCCGAAGCCGAAAATGAGATGTGGGCAAGAGGCCAGTTGCTTATCACAACTCAAGACAGTGGGTCAATTCCTCAAGCAAGTTCCTTCAACAAACACATCTCAATAAGCAACGGAATGAATCTTGATGATGTCAGTTGTTTATTGGAAAAGCTCTCAGGAATCACGGACAGAGAGATGGAAATCAAAGTTGCTCAGGCGTTGGACTACCAGCCTCTCGCCTTGGCAAGTGCCGCCACTTATGTCAGAGAAGTTCGACAGACATCTAATTTTGGCTGGAAAGACTATCTTGCAAAACTTGAAACAGGCCAAAGAAATGTCATGGAGAAACTTTTTGCCGAAGTCAACCCAAGCTATGCAAAGTCCATGACCACAGCAACAACACTGGCCGTAGAAACAGCTATGGAATCCAGCAAAATTATGCATCACGCCTTTAATTTCCTGTCCCTGTGTGCACCACAACCATTAAGTCTTAATATCATTGAAGACTTTATCACAATTGTGGATAAAGAAATTCAGGACATAGAAATGATTCGTTTGAAGATACAAAGGTGCTCCCTGCTGATGTTTGAAAGGGACGAAACTGATGTTTACATTCGTGTGCATCAGGTTGTACATAATTCCATTAAGACTTTGGCTGCAGCTCATTCGGATGATAAGCACAACGAGGTCGTCGGTGGAGTGATTGGATCATTCAGTCGTTTTGTAGAAAAATATCCACCAAGGGACAACTACGAGTCCTATGCTCTAATAAACAGCAGACATGTTACTCATTTAAAAAAATTAGCCCCAGAAATTGAGAGATATTTTTCTAAGAAGGTTATTTCTCAAGTCGACCAAAGTGGCTTTTTGATCAAGAACCATGCGATGGACCTCCATAGAATGAGTATGTTTTGCTATATGCATTGTGAATACGAAACTTCAAGACGTTTCATCGATATGGCATTGGACGTATCCATTGTCAACGAGCACGACCCTGGCTTAGATATAACAGATATCTACGAACACGCGGGTAACGTGCACGAAAAGCTGGGTGACCTGAGTCAGGCAAAGGATTATCATGATCGTGCACTGGCCATTCGTCTGAAAAAGCTTGGACCTGACCATGTTGACGTTGCAAATTCTTACAATAGCCTGGGTATTGTACACGTAAAGCTGGGTGACCTGAGTCAGGCAAAGGATTATCATGATCGTGCACTGGCCATTCGTCTGAAAAAGCTTGGACCTGACCATGTTGACGTTGCAACTTCTTACAATAACCTGGGTGTTGTACACGAAAAGCTGGGTGACCTGAGTCAGGCAAAGGATTATTATGATCGTGCACTGGCCATTCTTCTGAAAAAGCTTGGACCTGACCATGTTGACGTTGCAAATTCTTACAATAACCTGGGTGTTGTACACTATAAGCTGGGTGACCTGAGTCAGGCAAAGGATTATCATGATCGTGCACTGGCCATTCGTCTGAAAAAGCTTGGACCTGACCATGTTGACGTTGCAAATTCTTACAAAAACCTGGGTTCTGTACACAATAAGCTGGGTGACCTGAGTCAGGCAAAGGATTATCTTGATCGTGCACTGGCCATTCGTCTGAAAAAGCTTGGACCTGACCATGTTGACGTTGCAAATTCTTACCATAGCCTGGGTGTTGTACACAATAAGCTGGGTGACCTGAGTCAGGCAAAGGATTATCATGATCGTGCACTGGCCATTCGTCTGAAAAAGCTTGGACCTGACCATGTTGACGTTGCAAATTCTTGACCGTTGTACACTATAAGCTGGGTGACCTGAGTCAGGCAAAGGATTATCATGATCGTGCACTGGCCATTCGTCTGAAAAAGCTTGGACCTGACCATGTTGACGTTGCAAATTCTTACATTAGCCTGGGTGTTGTACACTATAAGCTGGGTGACCTGAGTCAGGCAAAGGATTATCATGATCGTGCACTGGCCATTCGTCTGAAAAAGCTCGGACCTGACCTTGTTGACGTTGCAACTTCTTACAATAACCTGGGTGTTGTACACTATGAGCTGGGTGACCTGAGTCAGGCAAAGGATTATTATGATCGTGCACTGGCCATTCTTCTGAAAAAGCTTGGACCTGACCATGCTGACGTTGCAAATTCTTACAATAACCTGGGTGTTGTACACTATAAGCTGGGTGACCTGAGTCAGGCAAAGGATTATCATGATCGTGCACTGGCCATTCGTCTGAAAAAGCTTGGACCTGACCATGTTGACGTTGCAAATTCTTACATTAGCCTGGGTGTTGTACACTATAAGCTGGGTGACCTGAGTCAGGCAAAGGATTATCTTGATCGTGCACTGGCCATTCTTCTGAAAAAGCTTGGACCTGACCATGTTGACGTTGCAAATTCTTACGATCACCTGGGTGTTGTACACTATAAGCTGGGTGACCTGAGTCAGGCAAAGGATTATCATGATCGTGCACTGGCCATTCGTCTGAAAAAGCTTGGACCTGACCATGTTGACGTTGCAAATTCTTACGATCACCTGGGTGTTGTACACTATAAGCTGGGTGACCTGAGTCAGGCAAAGGATTATCAT